TTGTACTCCACTTGGATTTTGGGCCTTCCTCCTTCTGAAAACACCTTAAAGGGCCAGTGCTTCATATCAGCCTGGACCACCGCATCATCAAACTTTCTTCCAATCAGCCTCTTGGCGTCAAACACTGTGTTGCTTGGGTTCAGAGCCACCTGGTTCTTGGCCGCGTCCCCGATCAGCCTCTCAGTGTCAGTGAAGGCCACATAGCTGGGGGTGGTCCTGTTGCCCTGGTCATTGGCAATGATTTCTACTTTTCCATGCTGGAACACCCCCACACAGGAGTATGTGGTGCCCAGGTCGATGCCGATGGCTGTGTTTTTAGACATCTTGGCTCAGTTTTCTTTCAGTCCTAAAAAAGCAAAGGAACAAGGAAAGAGACAGAGTAATAAAGTGAATAGGAGATATTTCTATCCACTTAGAAAACGCTTTCAATTTCACATTATTTTATCACTTTATAACACTTATTTCCAGAATAAAAGGTGTTTTAATGCTGCATAAATAGCCTTAGAGATGCTTACTAGAATATTTGGTTCTACAAATCTGTTCATCTCTCTTTATCTACATTCTTAAAAGTCTGTTTCTGTCTTTTTATTTAATAACGAGATCATTCATTTAGTTATTGCTGTTAAAACAAAGAAAAAAAGTGTGAAGCAGCAGATGATGAAAGGAGAACTTACTGTAGTTCAGTGATTCCTCTGCAGAAAAGCTTCTAGGTGCTTCTCCTCTTGTGGAGCTCTCCTGAAGTCCTCTGAAGGTCTGTTTGTCTCTGACTGCCTCAGTCTCAGCCTCACAGCTATTTAAAGCCTTTCACTCACTTCTAGCTGCTTCTCCAGAGTTCGTCCAATCAGAGCGCAGCAAGGAGCAATGAGCCGTGACGTCACTGCTGGAACTTTCTACCAGCCTCTGGTCCGTTCGAGAAAATGTCAGAAAGTTACAGAAAATAGCGATAAAATCAGAATGTAACAGTTGCAAGCATTTTTTAAGCGTTTCATCTAAAGGGTTTGTTATTTTTATAATTATTTTTATTTGGTTATTGCTTATATACTTACCGTGTTCACGATCACCCTAGTAACGACTAACGTTGCCAGTTAACTGTTGCCACAACATCCTAGTAACGACTAACAGTTGCCAGTTAAACTTCAGAGAGACATTAGCCCACCAAGGAATCGGCAACAGAAGATCAGCTGTCATTAAAGTTTTAAATACGAACATTTACACTCAACTCAGGACTGATGACCACAAGGACTCAAGTCACCAAGGACTTAATTTCTCTCTGTTCACGCACGCAGCCAACAAGGTTTGTTTGTTTGTAATTTATTTTATTCATTTCTGTAAGGTTTGGTTCGTGTTAGCGTTTTAACTAACTTCATTCTGATATTGTGTATTGTGTTTATTTAGTTTTCACGGTTTTTGGGAGGCTTTACAAGATTGCCTGGTGGAATAAACCCGTTAAAGAAAACCTACGTCTTGTCGTCGTGCTTTGAGAGGAGTTACACAGAACATCAGACCAAGCTGACAGAGCAGAAACCATGGAGCCAATATTCTATTAACAATATCAGCTTGTTGATTCAATAGAATGAATAAATTTATCTGAAAACCGGAGCTTTGTTCATTCTCTCCTGTAATAATTAAATAAACGTGTCAGTCTGGAAGAAGCTTCCTGAGGACGGAGCAGCTGCAGTTCTGTGCTCCATCAGCCTGAAAATATACTTCTGAATTAGAAAGCTTGTTTAAATTGGTTATTTTATTATTATTTAAATTGTTTATATTAGATAAACATGCCTGGATGAGTAGATTGGGTAAAATGTGTCTTTTTATGCTTCTGGGCGTTTGTGAAAATGTCTTAGAAGCAGAACTGACGTATCTGGGCTTTCTGGTGGACAGTTTCTGTCCCTGAAGTCCTCTGAGGACAGCTGTCTCCAGGAACAGGGAGCAGCCTCAGAGGCTGAACGCAGTTCTTTGCTGAACTGAGACGGTCCAGTCTGCCATGGTCTCCATGGTTACGCCGGATACTTCTGGTCCATCCAGCAGGTGTTTTAGAAAAGGCTTCAACAGGTAAAAAGATTTTTCTGTATCTTTGTGACTCTAAGAAAATCGCTAAAATATGAAGCTCTGGTTGTTACTGGAGGCTGATGAGAAAGAAATGGATCTGGTTCTGATGGTGTCATAGTGATATGGGTCACATCAGGTGTGCAGAGCCTCATCATCAGGACACCAATAAACGATCATTTTCATTAAATGAGTCCAAATAAAAACCAGCTTCAGGAAACTGAGCAGAGAAAATGGGTCTAGTTTTTCCAGAGAAATTATCATGTTGAAAGCAAAACCTTATTTTACCACTAGGGGGCAGTGAAAAGCCTCTCAGTGAAGCCAGAGGTAATTAGAGAACCAAAAGTTTGCAATTTCTGGTATTAAAAAAAAATAATAATTACATAAATAATACCAGCAATTACATGTTTTCAGAATGAAAATGAAGAAATACTCTCCCAGATTGATATTATTAACCTAAAACTCAAAATATAAATCCTCACAGTAAGTATTGTATATATGTTAGGACAGGGAAGAGAGCTTCCACTGACAATAGCTACTGTTTATTATATTTTTAATTGATCTCTGAATACCTCAGTTACAGCAGTGGACAGAGTAGGCAGACATTTGACTCAAGTAGGAGTAGAGATACTTTATAAAAAATATTACTCACATTTAAAGAACTATGGTGCAGAAAACCTCTCCTAGAAATATTTTGTCTCTTCAAAATACTGCTGAAGGAAATGTAACTTCGTCAAAGTAATTAGTAACTATTTTATTGTTATTTAAATTGTTTATGTTGGATAAACATGCCTGGATGAGTAGATTGGGTAAAATGTGTCTTTTTATGCTTCTGGACGTTTGTGAAAATGTCTTAGAAGCAGAACTGACGTATCTGGGCTTTCTGGTGGACAGTTTCTGTCCCTGAAGTCCTCTGAGGACAGCTGTCTCCAGGAACAGGGAGCAGCCTCAGAGGCTGAACGCAGTTCCCTCGCAAACCCACTTGGGATAAGCGTGTAAGAAAATGGATGGATGGATATAAATTAACAAATAAAATGGTTCCTATTGCTGAAAAGGTTATTTAGATTCTTATTTATATTTTGAATATTTTTGTACTTTAATGATTGAAGCATCAGACGTTTTAAATGACTGTATTTTTAGATGCTTTATTCAATTATATCCAAATATTAATCAGATGTTATGATTGAAACATAAAAAAACATTTAAAAAATATTTTCTTATTTTTATTTCATTACTCAATTGGTTGGCTATTTTGTACTTTTACTTTAGTAAAACTATGCTATAGTGGTGCTACTCTTACTGAAGTGCAATGTTTGGGTACTCTTCATACCTCTAAATGATATATAATTAATTACTCAAAAGATCCGATTCTAACAGAGTTAAGTAGTTACTAATTACTTTGACGAAGTTACAGTATTTTGAAGAGACAAAATATTTCTAGGAGAGGTTTTATGCACCATAGTTCTTTAAATGTGAGTAATATTTTTATAAAGTATCTCTACTCCTACTTGAGTCAAATGTCTGCCTACTCTGTCCACTGCTGTAACTGAGGTATTCAGAGATCAATTAAAAATACAATAAACAGTAGCTATTGTCAGTGGAAGCTCTCTTCCCTGTCCTAACATATATACAATACTTACTGTGAGGATTTATATTTTGAGTTTTAGGTTAATAATATCAATCTGGAAGAGTATTTCTTCTTTTTCATTCTGAAAACATGTAATTGCTGGTATTATTTATGTAATTATTATTTTTTTAAATACCAGAAATTGCAAATAAATTCTGACTGCCTCACTTCTAAACCTTACATACATAAAATAATCTGAAATTGAAGATCCTTTTGCTGAATACTTTTTAAAAAATTTTCCAAAGATGAATTAATTTTACTTTTAGTGACTTAATGTTGAAGTAGAACTACTTTTATTTGAGTTACTTTTTGGTTCTCTAATTACCTCTGGCTTCAATAAGAGGCTATTCACTGCCCCCTAGCGGCAAAATAAGGTTTTTATTTTCAACATGATAATTTCTCTGGAAAAACTAGACCCATTTTCTCTGCTCAGTTTCCTGAAGCTGGTTTTTATTTGGACTCATTTAATGAAAATGATCGTTTATTGATGTCCTGATGATGAGGCTCTGCACACCTGATGTGACCCATATCACTATGACACCATCAGAACCAGATCCATTTCTTTCTCATCAGCCTCCAGTAACAACCAGAGCTTCATATTTTAGCTGATTTTCTTAGAGTCACAAAGCTACAGAAAAATATTTTTACCTGTTGAAGCCTTTTCTAAAACTAAATCACCTGCTGGATGGACCGGAAGTATCCGGCGTAACCATGGAGACCATGGCAGACTGGACCGTCTCAGTTCAGCAAAGAACTGCGTTCAGCCTCTGAGGCTGCTCCCTGTTCCTGGAGACAGCTGTCCTCAGAGGACTTCAGGGACAGAAACTGTCCACCAGAAAGCCCAGATACGTCAGTTCTGCTTCTAAGACATTTTCACAAACGCCCAGAAGCATAAAAAGACACATTTTACCCAATCTACTCATCCAGGCATGTTTATCTAATATAAACAATTTAAATAATAATAAAATAACCAATTTTAACAAGCTTTCTAATTCAGAAGTATATTTTCAGGCTGATGGAGCACAGAACTGCAGCTGCTCCGTCCTCAGGAAGCTTCTTCCAGACTGACACGTTTATTTAATTATTACAGGAGAGAATGAACAAAGCTCCGGTTTTCAGATAAATTTATTCATTCTATTGAATCAACAAGCTGATATTGTTAATAGAATATTGGCTCCATGGTTTCTGCTCTGTCAGATTGGTCTGATGTTCTGATTTTATCGCTATTTTCTGTAACTTTCTGACATTTTCTCGGACCGACTAGAGGCTGGTAGAAAGTTCCAGCGGTGACGTCACGGCGCTTGCTCCTTGCTGCGCTCTGATTGGACGAACTCTGGAGAAGCAGCTAGAAGTGAGTGAAAGGCTTTAAATAGCTGTGAGGCTGAGACTGAGGCAGTCAGAGACAAACAGACCTTCAGAGGACTTCAGGAGAGCTCCACAAGAGGAGAAGCACCTAGAAGCTTTTCTGCAGAGGAAGCACTGAACTACAGTAAGTTCTCCTTTCATCATCTGCTGCTTCACACTTTTCTTGTTTGTTTTTACAGCAATAACTATATGAATGATCCCATTATTAAATAAAAAGACAGAAACAGACTTTTAAGAATGTAGATAAAGAGAGATGAACAGATTTGTAGAACCAAATATTCTAGTAAACATCTCTAAGGCTCTTTATGCAGCATTACAACACCTGTTTTATTCTGGAAATAAGTGTTATAAAGTGATAAAATAATATGAAATTGAAAGCGTTTTCTAAGTGGATAGAAATATCTCCTATTCACTTTATTCCTCTGTCTCTTTCCTTGTTCCTTTGCTTTTTTAGGACTGAAAGAAAACTGAGCCAAGATGTCTAAAAACACAGCCATCGGCATCGACCTGGGCACCACATACTCCTGTGTGGGGGTGTTCCAGCATGGAAAAGTAGAAATCATTGCCAATGACCAGGGCAAAAGGACCACCCCCAGCTATGTGGCCTTCACTGACACTGAGAGGCTGATCGGGGACGCGGCCAAGAACCAGGTGGCTCTGAACCCAAGCAACACAGTGTTTGACGCCAAGAGGCTGATTGGAAGAAAGTTTGACGATGCGGTGGTCCAGGCTGATATGAAGCACTGGCCCTTTAAGGTGTTTTCAGAAGGAGGAAGGCCCAAAATCCAAGTGGAGTACAAAGGGGAGAACAAAGCATTCTTTCCAGAGGAGATCTCCTCCATGGTCCTGGTGAAGATGAAGGAGATTGCAGAAGCCTACCTTGGCCACAAGGTGTCCAATGCCGTCATCACGGTTCCCGCCTACTTCAACGACTCCCAGCGACAGGCCACTAAAGACGCAGGCGTCATTGCGGGACTCAACGTCCTGAGAATCATCAACGAGCCCACGGCGGCCGCCATCGCGTACGGTCTGGATAAAGGCAAGTCAGGAGAGAGAAACGTCCTGATCTTCGACCTGGGCGGAGGCACCTTCGACGTGTCCATCCTCACCATCGAGGACGGCATCTTTGAGGTGAAGGCCACGGCCGGAGACACCCACCTGGGAGGAGAGGACTTTGACAACCGCATGGTCAACCACTTTGTGGAGGAGTTCAAGAGGAAACACAAGAAGGACATCAGCCAGAACAAGAGAGCCTTGAGGAGGCTGCGCACAGCTTGTGAGAGAGCCAAGAGGACGCTGTCCTCCAGCTCCCAGGCCAGCATCGAGATCGACTCTCTGTTTGAGGGCATTGACTTCTACACCTCCATCACCAGAGCTCGCTTTGAGGAGCTGTGCTCCGACCTGTTCAGGGGAACCTTGGAGCCCGTGGAGAAAGCTCTGAGGGACGCCAAGATGGACAAGGGCCAGATCCACGATGTGGTTCTGGTTGGAGGCTCCACCCGAATCCCCAAGATCCAGAAACTGCTGCAGGACTTTTTCAACGGCCGAGAGCTGAACAAGAGCATCAACCCGGACGAGGCGGTGGCTTACGGCGCCGCCGTCCAGGCTGCCATCCTGATGGGAGACACTTCTGGGAACGTTCAGGACCTGCTGCTGCTGGACGTGGCTCCTCTGTCCCTGGGGATCGAGACGGCTGGAGGAGTGATGACGGCCCTGATCAAACGGAACACCACCATCCCCACCAAACAGACTCAAGTGTTCAGCACCTACTCTGACAACCAGCCCGGGGTCCTGATCCAGGTCTACGAAGGGGAGAGAGCCATGACCAAGGACAACAACCTGCTGGGAAGGTTTGAGCTGACGGGAATCCCACCCGCTCCAAGAGGCGTTCCGCAGATCGAAGTGACCTTTGACATCGACGCCAACGGCATTCTGAACGTGTCTGCGGTGGACAAGAGCACTGGCAAAGAGAACAAGATCACCATCACCAACGATAAGGGCCGACTGAGCAAAGAGGAGATCGAGAGGATGGTGCAGGACGCTGAAAAGTACAAAGCTGAGGATGAGCTGCAGAAAGACAAAATAGCTGCCAAGAACTCCTTGGAGTCCTACGCTTTCAGCATGAAGAGCAGCGTGGAGGACGAGAGCTTGAAGGGCAAAATCAGCGAGGAGGACAAGAAGAAGGTGATAGACAAGTGTAAAGAGACCATCAGCTGGCTGGAGAACAACCAGCTGGCCGACAAAGACGAGTACCAACACCAGCAGAGAGAGCTGGAGAAGGTCTGCAACCCCATCATCAGCAAGCTGTATCAGGGAGGGATGCCCACTGGTACCTGTAGACAGGAGGCAGGAGCCCACAACCAGGGGCCCACTATTGAAGAGGTGGACTGAAGGGGCCCTTCATGTGGACTCATCTCCTGGACCGTTTACAGGTTCTACTGGACCTGTCAGAACCTTGGACTCTTTTCAGACTAAACACATGGTTGTTTCCATGTCCTCCTGGTAAATATCTCAGCTCTGTTTAAGGTTTTCTGACTTAAATTGTTTATAAATAAAACCTCTCATGGAAAGAATGGTGGGACTTTTTTAACACTAAAGTATTTTGATGTTTTTAAATACTTGACGTCTGAATGTTTTCATCTGTAAAATGCTGGACATTAATAAAGATGAAAAAAAGAAAGTATGAGACTCTGGTCTGTTTATTGCTGTAAAACCTTGGATTATTACTAGTTTAATCTCATAAGCTTCACATTAGATGAGCTTTTTCAAAAAAAGTTTACACACTGAATAGCCAAAAGTTTTCTTTCAGGAGGTCTTAGTCAAGACATATGATTGATTTTTTTTTTTTATTGATAGTCAAACTGTTGCAGATGTGTTAAAATGGATGGTAAAAGGTAGTTAACTTAACAGTGGGATTGCTGCATTAACCTTGTAAAAGTTTATCCAGAGATAACCCTGATCTGAAACACGTTGGAGTGAAGTGAGCCCTTCATGTGGACTCATCTCCTGGACTGTTTACAGGTTCTATTCAGACTAAACACTTGGTTGTTTCCATGTCCCCCTTGTAAATATCTCAGCTCTGTTTAAGGTTGCCTACCTACATTTTTTTTTTTTTTTTACAACTAATACCACTCATGGAAAGAATGGTGCAACCTTTTTATCGTTGAAGTATTTTGATGTTTCTAAATATTTGACATCTGAATGTTTTCATCTGTAAAATGCTGGACATTAATAAAGATGAAAAAAGAAAATATGAGACTCTGGTCTGTTTATTGCTATAAAACCTTTTGTAATACCGCCAAATGTAAATGTAGGCATCACCTAAAAAAATGAATGATTTTTGAGGGTTGAAGTAAAAGTTTTTCCAGAGAAATCATCTTGATTTGAAACATGTTAGTGTGAAAGCAAAACCTTCTTTGGCCGCTAGGGGGCAGTGAACAACCTCTCGTTGAAACCAGAAGGGATTCAAGAACCAAAAATTGGACTCAACTAAAAGTAGTCCTCCTTATACATGAAATTACTTAACAGTGAAAAATTATTGATCTACGAAAAACTTGAAAGTAAATATGTAATTTCCAAAATGCTCTTTAAGTTGAGATTAGATGTATTTAATATTTAGTAAAGATGCTGTCAGATTTTATTTGGAAGTTCTGGTATTTTAAAAAGTGAAAATGTATTAACAAAATACCAATAAATGGCATGTTTTCAGAATAAAACAGAAGAATTTATATTTTCAGCATACAACTTAAGATATCGATCCTCAGAGTGAGAATTACATATATGTTAGGACAGGGAAGAAAACTTCCACTGACAAGATCTACTGTTTATTGTGTTTTTAATTTATCTTTGAATACTTCAGTTAGAGACAGTGGACAGAGTAGGCAGACATTTGACTCAAGTAGGAGCAGAAAATATGTAGAAGAATATTTCTTAAATAAAAGGAAGAAATGTGGTGCAGTAAAACCTCTACTTTAATATTTTTCAAAAGGGATAAAGAAAATCACAGGCTGTAGACAGAAGGATGATCAGAAAACGGAAGTTTGGGTAAAGTAAAAGAACTGAACACATTCCTCAACATGTTAAGTTCAGAAATAAGCTCAGCATCCTTCTCTCCTTTCCACAGTTACAGTCCTGCTCACCATTATTGGCACCCCTGAATTTTAAGTACATATGATGGAATATTTCCTAAAGAAAAGACATTGAAAGGAACGATTGGTCTTCGCAAATGAGAACCTGGACAAACCTCAAGCCTTCTGGGACAACATTTTATTGACAGATGAAACAAAAGTGGAGCTTTTTGGTAATTCACACCAACAGTATGTTTACAGACGGCGCAATGAAGCCTTTAAAGAAAAGAACACCATACCAACATTCAAGCATGGTGGAGGATTTATAATGCTGTGGGGCTGCTTTGCGGCATCTGGTACTGGATGCCTTGACCGTATCACAGGCATCATGAAATCAGAAGATTATCAAGAAAACATGTCTTGCCCAGTGTAAGAAAGCTTGGTTTGAGGCAAAGATCCTGGGTCTTCCAGCAAGCACCCCTCCAAAAGCATGCAGGCATGGTTGAAAGGGAAAAAAATGACTGTTTTAAAATGGCCAGCAATGAGTCCTGATCTCAATCTCATTGAAAATCTTTAGGTAGAGCCTAAATCTGCCATCGGAGAAAGGAACCCTGCAAATGTACAAGTGCTTGAGCAAATTGCAAAAGAAGAGTGGCAGAAAATGCCACCTGAGAAGAGCAAGAAGCTTATAGATGAATACCGTATTTTCACGACTATAAGGCGCACTTAAACGTCTTTTTTTTTCCTCAAAATGTGCGGTGCGCCCTATGGTGCGGTGCGCCTTATGTGTGTGTTAAATACAGAAATGGGACACATAACTGAGAGTGCGCCTTTTAGTCCGGTGCGCCTTATGGTCGTGAAAATACGGTATAAGAAATGTTTGGAGGCTATCATTGCTGCCAACCAAATATTGCAACCAAATATTAGGGAGGGGTGTCAATATTAGTGCACATGCTGGTTTTCTGTTTTGTCTTTTGGAATTAAAATATTTGTGTTGAAATGGTAACTGTCTTTCTTAAATTATTTTGGACCTTAAATTGAAAGATCTTGCTGATATAATTTTGAACATTTCCATTTATTTCTGAAGATATTCACTCAGCTATGCAAAACATGAAGGGGTGCCAATAATGGTGAGCAGGACTGTACATGAACATCCTGCCCTGCTTTCACCCAAAGCTTCTCTTACACCAAGAGGTCTAAATGTATTGAGCCTTTTTCAACTCAAGTAGAAGAATAAATTCTACAGTTGGAAACACTTTTTTTTAGAAGTTAGTCTCAATTTAAGCTTTTTACTCAAGTAAAAGTGTAAAAATACCATTTTTAAAACTACTTATAGAGTATAAAAGTAAAAGTAATGCAGGAAAAAATGTTAAGGACAGAAACTTTACTACATATCTTATTAATGGAACATTGTTCTATAATTTTGGATGAGAACTTTCTTATACATAATTTTCTAATGCCAACTTTGCTTCATCTTGAAAAACGGTTATTTTGGTATGTGGTGAAGAACCACAAAGAAATTAAATGTCTGGATAAAACATATACTTTGATGGATTTTATATTCTTATACCAACAGGCCATAATATAAATGAGCTTCAATTAAACAAAACTAACGAGTGTATTTTTAAAATATATGGAGGAGAAAGTAGAGATAATTGCACAAATATTTAAGGAGCAGATGTAAAAAAAAATGGTCTGAAAAATAATTACTCCAGTAAAGTATAGCTAGCCAAGATTTCTACTTAAGTAAGGTAACGAAGTATTTGTACTTTGTTAATTGACACCTCTGGTTACACTTCAAATGTTTAATCTTCCACCTCTGCAATGGAGGATCCTACTTCTATGAGTTTGTTCTCAGCCAAATCAGAAGATGATTCTCTCCCTCCACCTTCCACCTGTTTCTTTCTAAAAGCCAAGTGACAAGACAACTGGACAGACTGAATCGTGATAAGTCACCAGGTCCTGATGGTGTCAGACCCAGAGTCCAGAGCAGCTCAGTGGGATATTTCAGCACCTCTTCAACCTTAAAGGCTGGTTATACTCCTGCAGCAGTGTGTCGCAGGGAGCTTGTTGCAGGTATGATGAAGATATTTTTAATTTATGCCCAATTTTGAAGCGTGGTCTGCTCTATGTTACTCCATGCCACAACACAAGAGGAAGTGGAAAAACACAAAGGGCAAATTTATGCTACAGCGAAGGGACATGAGGGTGAAAAAGGGTCCCATCGTTCTCGCGCACCTCGCTCTTCGTCCATCTTCACGAGTCGTTTTCCAGAATGGCGGTCATCCTAACAAAAAAAGCCAGTAAGGTACCAAACAGGAAATATACATACTGTAGAGCTGATGTAGATGTGACCAATCAGAGGCCTCCTGTCTGCGGACCACCTGCCTTGTTCCAGTACCAAAGAAAACTCAGCCAACAGTCCTCAGTGACTATAGACCTGTTGCCCCACATCATAAATGTCCTAGAGAGACTTCTGTTGGTTCACCTCAACAAACAAACAAGCAGCTATCAGGACCCGCTACAGTTTGTTTATTAAACGGAGTCGGAATTGATGGTACCAAATATTATAGTATATCATAAACTTGCTAAAAAAGACTCCATGCCATTTAGACAAGACTGCCAGCACTGTGAGGATTATGTCCTTCTGCCCAGAAGACTCAGGTGGCGGTATCAACAATAGCCTGCAACAGTATAACTAGCTCAGGATAACCTGAACAAGAATCAGAAACAAATCAAGTTAATTGCCAAGTAGGTTTGCACTTACATAGAAGATGACTTGGTGTTGATGGTGCAGACAGCCTGAGCCATGAAGCTGAGTACATGCAGCTGGTGAACCACTTTGTTGCATGGCAAGAAAACCATCATCTGATTCTAAATGTGAACAAAACAAAGGGAGTGATACCCTGTAAACATCATGGGAGAAGAAGTGGAGGTGGTGGATGAGTATAAATACCTTGCTGTTCACCTGAAATAAAAAGGTATGTAGGCTATACGCAAACGAGAAGCCATCTACAAGAAGGGACAGAGCAGACTGGACTTCCTAAGGGAGATTAGGCCATTTTGTGTTTGCAGCAAAGGCTACATATCTACTGTCTACTGTGGAGAGTGTGATCTCTTCTGCCGTCATATGCTGGATTAACAGCATCAGAAAAAAAAAAAGATTTAAAGAAGCTCAACAAGCTGATAAAGAGGGCTGGCTCTGTTCTAGAACCTCTGGAGAGGATTTTGCAACGAATAATTCTTTATTAAAAGAAGAACATTGTGAAAAACAGTGACTTCGCTTTTCATCCGATTGTTAAACACCAACAGGGGAGTGAGTGGTGGCCTAGTGGTTAGGGCTTGGAAACCTGAGGTTGTGAGTTCGAAACCCACTCTGCCGCTCTGGGTCTCTCAGCAAGACCCTTAACCCTCGGGCGCTGCACAATGGCAGCCCACTGCTCCCCAAAGGCGATGGGTTAGATGCAGGGAATTGATAAAAGTTTAATTCAGTTCAGAGTAACTCCAGTCAGAGGCATCTCCAGACATAGTGTAAGACAGTGGTACGGAAGATCACTACGGTGGCCCTGAGGTGCAAAACACTACAACATTAACAAATGCACAACAACATTAATGAAAACACAACAACGCAGAATCCCACAGAGCTGCTCTGCAATGGGCTTCAAGATCAGAAATACTTATTAATGCTGGTTTTATCCCAAACATTGTGGTCTTACCAAATAAAAGAAAGCTCAGAACATGAACTTACTGAGTTTCATTAAAAACATCTACCGAATATAATCAAAAGTGAGTGAAATTTTATTCCATTACATCACATTTTTCATGCAATCAGGCCAGCTCTGCGTATGATAGAAAGTAGGATCCTAACCAAATGGTTATATTTAGAAATGAAGTTTAAACTCTTCAAAGCTGACCTTAAAGCAGGGACAGAGGCCTGGCTATTACTCCCTGAGCTTCTTTTAGCCAACTAGCAAATTATCTGTGTGTGTTTCTACTGTAGGTTTGAGGCCAACTTTGTAATTAAGATGTCTGTCCAGCCTAAAAATCCTCCACAGATTTGAACTAAAAATATCACATGAGAGCACTGAGGACTCAGTCAAACACGTGGGGAATTCCTCTGTATTTGATGCCTGTATGCAATCCCAAAAAAGTTTGACAACTTACTCTTTATTGGTTTCTTTGCC